ACAGTCACTACAGTCACTACAGTCACTACAGTCACTACAGTCACTACAGTCACTACAGTCACTACAGTCACTACAGTCACTACAGTCACTACAGTCACTACAGTCACTACAGTCACTACAGTCACTACAGTCACAGTAAGAACCGTGTGTTTTCATCATGAACCTGGATGTTTTTCCAACTTTTGTTTGTCTTTAATCTGGTCTAAAGAATTGACACTTCCTGTTGTCGCTGAGTCAAAAACTGAAACAGCTGCTCCTTAAACAATATGTTCTATACAACAGATGATGTTTTGATAATGAACCAGTGGAGAGTTAACAGTGAGCCAATCAGGTTGCAGTGCATTTGTGATGATATTTTGGGTAAAAAGCAGAATTTCTTAGTGGATTGTTTTCTTAAATCTCTGATTTTGTAGGTGATTCTTCTGTGACGGTGGTCGGTCGGTCTGACAGAATGTAGATCCGTTAATAATGGCCTCCTCTGAACTAGCAGGTGGGGGCGGGGGGGTCCAGTATCCCTGACCATCAATCAATGGCCTCTGGTCCCCCTCCCCCCCAGGATTGACCACATGAGACAACCTCACCCTGCACCAGCTGTGCTGTAAATCAGGTTCAATCCTGTTCCATGGAGGGTTGACAGCTGCCACCAGGGGGCGTCTTTAACACACAGTGGCAGACTATTGATTTAAAAAAATGTTTTGTTAAAGCCCTTGATGTTCACGTCTCTTTGAGGAAAAACAGAAGTAAGTGATGTTTATAAAGTCCAGTCTTTATGAAGACCTTCACCTGGTCTGGATCCTCTCACACCTCCGTTCATCTTCACCTGGTCTGGATCCTCTCAGACCTCCGTTCATCTTCACCTTCCTCTCGTGACCTGATCCACCTCATCCACTCGTTCTCCCATCATTCCTACTGTTTTTCCTCCAGTCCAAAGTTCACCAGGACCAGGCAGCACCTCCTCCTCCTCCTCCACCTCTTCCTCCTCTTCATCAAACCACAGAGCCCTCATTCTCATGAACCTTCCGGCTCATTAGACCAGACAATTATTTACATTAGTGTTACTAATGAAATGCCTCCATTTATAAACTGGCCTTCAGAGATCATTTAGCCTCCTCCTCCTCCTCTTCCTCCTCTTCCTCCTCCTCTTCCTCCTCCTCCCAGTGCTGCCATATCCTCCGTCTCCACCTCACACTCCAGTTATCACAGTTATCACCACCCACCATAGTGCCTTTCAGGGACCGGCCTCTAATAAGTCCACTTAGCAACAGTACCTGACTGGGTGTACGTCTGATCGCTCAGTGGGCTCCAGTCTTCAGTCTGATGAACCAACACCTGAGTGTCCAATCAGGAGCTGAGAGACAGCAGCAGCTGTTCTCTGTGATCTGACCTGGGTTTAGTCTTTAAAACACCCAGATGAATGACGGTGTGGTCAACAGTTCAAGTCAGAGGGAGAAGATGCTAAACATAACTAGTTCACACACTAGTTGACAAAGAAATGATCAGGAAATGATCATTTCAACAGATTTGTTTCTGTGACTTGAAGGTGTTGAGAACTTGACGACTCAGCCCGTTATGAGCAGCATCTTTCAACAAACTGATGCTCCTCAGATCTGCCCCGCGCTCTGATAACATCTCCAGAAGGCAAACCACTTTATCTGCCCCCCCCTGCCCCCCCACTCCACTCCTGCCTTACCCCTTTGCCAGCAGCTACATCCCAAAATAGCACCATCCCACTGTTATGTATTTGGATTATGATAACAGCCTCCATTAAGCTGCTGATAACAAATGGAGAAATGGTTAAGTGCACTTTACCTCGATGAATATATAAGATAAGTCAGTCAGTGCAGACGGCCTGGTTATCAGCCTTCACCTGGGGCCACGTGAACCTGACTGTAATGTGCTCACGGTGATTGACTCTCAACATGAGGTCACAGCCAGAGTTGGTTCAGACGGTCCGTCTCTGCGGTCACCGTCTCTTTGACTCAGAGATCAGTTTGAGAACGTCCACCAAGTCTTGACCAAAATCAGTTGCCGAGTGATCAGCAAAGTGCAGTGGTTTTATTTCCAGTTCATCTGCAGGAAGAGAAGAACGATTCAGCAGAGGCTTCTGCAGAACGTTTGCTTTGTTCTTTTCTTCCCCCTCACTGTTACCCACCTGCCTCAGACAGCGTACGCCTATAGGCTGTGCGTGTCACACATGAAATATTCCTTTATTATTCTACGACAGAACCATAGGCGCTGTGAGCTCCAGTTTTCTTCTCCACACCTTGCTGCTGACTGCCTGCAGGAAGTTCAGATAAAAGCTGTCGTCTCCTGAAGTCGGCTCCATCCATTCAAAAGAGAAGATTTTATACAGCAGGAGCCCAACAGCC